CCTAACTGTCAGAAACAAGTTGGCGTCTACCGACGAGTTTAAAAGGCCAGGAACAGGTCACCATGATCACACAGCTTGCTTAAAATTATAAATATGGCTGTACATAATACTTTTGTAACTTCACAATAATAATTATTTCCAGTGTATTTCATCGATACAAGAAATACATAATCCTATGTGCATGAGTACCCATTGTATTCTGAAGCTAATTATTTTATAAGAGCTTATACTTCCGATCAATTGCACAATGATTTTTTTAAATCATTTAAATATAATATATGCATTTAATTTTTCTTTGTCTCCCTATAACCTTGACTTGGAAAAAATCCCCTCCACCTCAGTCCTGTAAATGGATATTTTACAATATTTGATTTAGGGAATTGACTTTTTACAATATATATTTTATCTGCATAAGACAATGCAGGGCTCGAAAAAGACTTGAATTCCAGCTTGTCCTCTGGGCAAACAGCTCTCACATTTGCTTGTTTGTGGCCACTTCTTGCTCCTCTCAATGATTTTGTTGGAGGATGACTTGCTTGGACCTGGCTTGCCATTGGACAAGAAAGCTTTAAAATAATAACTTGCCGGCAGCAAGAAAATGTACTTGTCCCAGTTTTGATTTAAGATTTATAGCATAAATAATGTAGGTAATACCATGTACTCACGTGGGAATACTGAAATAAATAAATAAAGTTGGTTATGTAATATTAATCACTCTTTTGCTGTCATGGTATTAATGGTCTTCTTACATTACCAAGAAAGTTGTTGATCTGTAAATAGATTCGATTGCAAAGAAACATAACACTGACAGTTAACTTTCATCATTAACATGTTATTATTTTTCACTTTAATTATATTATATTATAAGTGTGCTCTTCCAGTGAACGTGTCAGTTTCATTCTCTCAGTTTTATAACGTGTGAAAAAACCCCTGCAACCTCTAACTGAAGCCCCTACCAAAATGAGTGCTATTTAAAAAGCGACGAATTATCTTTCAGAAAAAATTTCATTCATATTTCCAGTCAAAATGTTGAGCACTTTGATGTCCCTTCTACAATCTGTAAGTTGGATCCAAAGAGGTGTAGGTGAATTTTTGACCGGAGTTTGACCACCCTAGTGAGGCCATCTTAGCATGGTGTGGGGCCTCCCTAGTCCCTAGGCATTTTAGAATATTTGCTAAGACTCACCCACCCTTTCCCAGACTTCGCATGGACAACAGGGGCCAGTTTTTCAAAGGTGGAGAACGCTATCCAGTTGTAATAATTGGTTTTCCTAATACTTATCTGCTGGATAGTGATTTATTCGATGGATAGCGCCAGGGGATAGCGCTATGCAATGTTTGAACAACCGGGGTCAGGACAATAGGGCAAGAGAGTACACCTATGGACCAGGCTGCTAAAACACAGTAAATTGTTGCAACTCTGTAGTCGTACTCAAATATTTTTTTGCCCATTAACTGTACTGTGTTGCTATGATCACACAGTACCGGACAAATTCTTGCATTTAGGTATTCTGTTCACACAAAATCATGCTTGATCAATAGTGCTTAGTTATTTTAAAAATTTGAACACCAAACTTCAGGTCAAATTTTTAGCTGATATGGTAAAAAACTTTGGTGCAGTGTTAACACCAAATATCTAAATTTTTTCCCACGTGAAGGCATGGATGGATGAATGCCTGGTAACTTGGCTAGAAAATGTTAATAACGTATTTCCACGAGTAAGCACCTAGGCATTTTTACCCTGCAAGCAGAGGTTTCTCTTTTGCATGGCTCTTTAGCATTTACGAAGTTGTTCGCGTGGCTTGTCTGTTGTGTAGTTGGTTTGTTTACGTGCTGTGAGAAACGTTTCTCTCGGGGTGTAAACAAACCAAGTACGTGACAGACAATACACGCGAACGACTTCGTAAATGCTAAAAGACATGCAAGAGAGAAACCCCTGCTCGCAGGGTAGGGTGTTTTTAAGTTGCGGCTAAAAGGATGGGTACTTAGTCAAGGGGAGGTGCTTATTAAGTTCTCCTGTTGTACCTCTGTACCTTAGTCCCATTATATGGTTTACACACAGCGTTATTAATAAAGTGGCATAGAAACAGGTTTTCCTTGTTTCCCTACTATTAAAGACAGTGATGGGAGGGGAGAAGGCACTTATTCGAGAGGGGGGCTTGTTTGATATTGGGCGCTCATTAGAGAGAGTGGGCACTTATTTCAGAAATACCAATGGTAATTTTGATGCACTTTATGTGTATTAATTTTTTTGACCAGTTGTTTGTAAAAACCAGCATTTCATAACAGTACTAAGGATAGCATGTGTGGCACACATTTGAAGTCGAGGGAAAAGAGGGATTTAAGGTGCAAGTCAACACTAAGATCTACTTGTAGAAACTAACCAGGACAAAAATTCCCAAATAAAGTTTATTTTTCTTACAATGACTAAATGGGAACTAAGAAAAAGCATTCTATGGCAAATATGTTTAATGACTAGCTATGGGATACCATTATTGTTACCATCAAATTAGAAGTACAGTAAAACTAACAGAATATGACAATTATGGCAACAAAATTCTCTTTGCTTATAGGCATGCACATTGATAACAGTATTGGTTATCCACTGATTTCCCATTAATGCGACAAAAACCAAACATTAAAAGTAGTGTGTAGTTATTTATTTAATATATTATATCCAACACCCTTGATTAGAATTGATCTTTCATGGTAGGAAAGCAGTTCATGGAGACTCTAAGAAAATGAATTTCATGAAGTTTGGAATTTTGGGGACTATAATTATTGGACTATTGTAACAATCCTCCAAGTTAGCACTCTAAATGAAAATATGTTAAGCACAATAGTTGAAGAATTTTTTTTTCACGAAATTTTGGTGAGACCGTGACAATGAGTATGTTGTTTCCTCCTTTTAGACCTCTGAAGTAATTCCTTCTTAAGATTATTGGTAAAACAAGCTAGCATTTTTTTCTAAAAATACACACTTCATGAATGGAGAAAAATATACACAAAGATACATTATTTTTTAAAGGCAATTGTGTAGGTGGTTAACTAAAAACATGTAACCAAAAAGTGCTGTGATAATAAATAAAACATTCACTTCTTTTTTTTTTCCAAACAATTTATGGTAAATCTCACGAAATTATTGACCTAAACACAACTCTTTCTCACGACCTTTTTACAAGCAGCATTATAAATGAATAAATGGAAAACCACTCCTGACATCTAAAAAGGTTGCCCTATGCTACAATATTTACAATACTTTCTTACTTTTTACAAATATATTGTAAGAACCCTGCACTTGAATGTCCTCATCAAATTTCATCACTTTTTAATTTAACCCTTGCACTGCCAAATGTGGCCAAAGGCAAATTCGACCGAATTTCCAAATTTCGTTTTCTAAAATGTTGACAAACAAATAGCACCATGTGTAAGTACAGGAATAGAGCTTTCATTTGAATGGTCACATCATAGGATTTCGTCTGCAGAGTCAAAAGTTAGAGTCGCCTTACAAAACTCCATCAAGTACTCTGGCAGCGAAGGGGTAAAGAAGACAGGAAAAAATCTATGATTATTATAATAAAAACATCATGAAAGTAGTAGGTGAGCTTTTGCACAAAAATATGATAAATAACATTTTATCTTCACACTATGAAAAGATCATGGTTGCTATGGTTACATAACAGAAGCATATAACCCCGGGTGCTTCTGTTACATAATGAATGGTGCCTCTCACAGCAAAAAGTGTTAAAGTGAAATGGTTTGGTATTTCATCGGTGTTTTATATATTCATAGAACATTGCCTGGCTGCATGGAAATACAGAATTTCTCTCCTCATGTTGAAGAATATTGCACCAATACTTAAAGAGAAACTTGGTAAGTCCATATGGCCATATAATATCCTCTATATTGTACCATATTGTGTAAAAGTTGCTGTATTTAATCTACACAAAAGCACTGGTGAGAGACATCAAAATCAAACTGGTAAAAAAGAAACACAAACAAATGGAAACCGAAACAAAAAAAAGAATAATTCATAAAATTAACGTCCTCATAAAATAATATCACAGTCTAACCAATCTGCCATAAGTAACAACTTCAGACTAGGCATAGGTGACTGTAATGCATGCAGTGAAGGTATCAATAAACTATGGAGGTGTCTAGCTGAGGTACAATTAACTAACATCACTTTCACATCCTCAAGTAATTGGGACTAACATTATTTCACATATTGCCAGTAACAAATCTCTTCCAAAACTATAATTCCCACAATTTGTTTTTGATAATTTGTTTGATTACTTAGAGACAATATTATTCAAGTATTTTGTCTTAACAGTTGAACTAAATACTGGACATCATCTATTATCAGCTATTTACTTCAAAGTTATTTAAATTTCTTCCATAAATATGTTTCTACAAACGTTATTTACTATATTCTTAGCACTGACAATATTATTGAAATTGAACTTTTACTTTTTGGGTGAACAAAATATCTCCACATCATCTAACTGATTTTTTTGCTTTTGCATTCTTTGCCTTGCTGCTCGTTTTGCCGCTGCCAACCGCTGTCTTGCTGCAGCTCTCTGCTCTGCTTCAGTAGCCTTTACTTCTTCAATAGATTTTTGCCGTCTCACTGATCCTTTACCCAGTGATGACTGCCGTGAGAGTGACGACTGACGTGTTAATGATGATCTCTTTGAAGAATCAGTCTGTGTTAATCAAGTCAAAATTAATCAACTTATTAATTCAAACCTTACAAAATCAAACCCTCACTTGACAGATTATAAGGCAAAACATATTTGAATATTATTTTAAGAGTGCAAGACAATAATTATTATTATATATACCTCATCTTTGGGTTGTTGTGTTTGTATCCAACCATTCTTGCGTAATTCGTCAATGTTACTAAACATATTATTTACATCATCAACCTATCACATCAGAAAAGAATACAGTATATTAACCTTGAACTAGCTACATGTAAAATGTGTAACACACCATGACATAACAAGAGGTAGCCAAAATTACAATGTTCTACATGTAGCTGACACATCAAGTCTCCCCTACTATAGGTAATAATGTTCTGATCCACTTCCACCACTAAGAATCTGAGGGGTTCACAATTTTTCAACTTTTTTAAGAGGGTTGAATGCCAAAACTAATATAAAATTAACTTGAACTTCACAGTAAATTTACACTGAAAGGTATTGTGCAAAAGTAATACGGAATGGCACATACCTGGATCATGACCATATCCCAAAATCCTGCAAGGTCAGCGTTAGTTGGTCTCCTACCATTGGTTTCTCCAATACCCTGTCGGAAATATTCGCTCACATTAAAAACAGTATTATAACACACAGAACATATCTGATGCAACTGTGACATGAGTTATTGGAAGAAAACTTTGCCAACATCTTACATGGCAGTGCATGAGCAGGACTTTCAAAAGTGCTAGTATATCCTTTCTTCAAATTTGTTATGACCATAATTTGCTGCTGATAAAAACTTTTAATTCTTAGAAAAAAAAATTGTTTTCACGCCAAAATAGATTCAATATCTCCAAAATAATGTTGTTTTACTGAAGTGTAGCAAGCACAGAGGTGAAAAGGACAACTAAATTGCTTGCCAATTTTGCAGAACATTCCTAGCACCAGCAGGGGGGGGAGGGGGGGGGTGGTGGGGCAAAATAACAGCAATGGAAGTGTTGTCTGGGGTGAAACCAGAATATATTATGTTTGAGATAGATACTTTTGCTTCTATCAACATTGTCAAAAACCTCCTTTCATAGAAAGATGCTACTGACCAATAAAAGAACTTATAATTCTTTGTACATCGCTAAATGGACAAACAACATTTACATGTACTGAGCAGGTCTGTAAAAAGAGGCAGGAGTTTCCTTACCTCTCCCACTCCTCCCCCCTTCCCAATAAATAGAAATGGCTAGTTTTCTGCAATTCATGTTTTCAAGCATGTTCCATGCTACAGAAGTGAAATCTACTGTAAAGGGGAGGTTTCACAGTTCAGTGCATCCTCATTAATCAAAATGCTGTTTTCTGCTGGGATGTGCTGTATTGTCTATGCAGGCAATATGATCATGTCATAACATTGTCAAAGAACCAATCTGCACACTCCCCAGGCAGTCACTTGATCAACTTATGTGCAAATAGCTGTAAATTCATCAACTAGGGAATAAAACCTTCCGGTCAACAATAAATAATTGTTGGTAGTGTTGGCATAATCCATTTTAGTACTCCTCCACCCTACTTCAGGTTACTCTGAAATACACTTCTACTTTGAAATACACTCCAAGATCCCTGAGATACATGTGAGTAGGATTATTAACCGATAGAATTAATAATAAATTCAAAAAAAGTAATTTAATTAATGAGCATGCACTGAACGGTGAACCTGTCCCTTTAATTTTAAGTCCGTATCTAGAGGCCACCTTTGTGGGGGCAGGGGGTGCAAGTCTAAATTTCAAATGCGGTTGTTTCAAGTTTTGAGGAGTAGGCCATGCAGTCCCTGTCAGTATCAACCCATTTTTATGTCCTTTGTCACCATTTCATCTTGTCCTATGCAGGGTTGTCATTAAGAGCCGGGGGCCGGGGATTTTCCCCGGCTACTAAGAGGGTGGCCCCCGGCTACTTTTATTGGAAATAGAAGAAAAATAGAACCAAAGAAATCCCTAGCCGTTTGATTCCCCGCCTACTTGTTGTATTTATCCGGCAACTTGAAATCTTAGTGACAACCCTGCTATGTCGCTGTTTCAAGGCCGTGTAAGGCCGCTATCTAAGGAAGATGATGTAAAAGAGACAATATTTTGTCAGCAACTCACCAAATTCATATCACAAAGTCCTTTAAATTGTTTGAACTTTTTATTCACCAAGAGCATTGCCTTTCCAGTGGCTGCTCGGATTTTACCGCAAGCTGTAATGAACAAAAAAGGCACAACTTACATTCTGTTTTTGCTGAAAATAAAACTCATTACTGGAGTAAATTGATATTGATAATAACATGGCTGTATAATAATATTATTTAAAAATTAACATCAGCCGTACATATTAAAATAATATCAATTGAGTGGCTATTCTTGGAGTTTTGAAGACCAAACCGATATTTTGACTTTGTTAAAATTAAAATAACTTAGAGGTGGATGAAGCAACAATAAATTATAGCAAATTGAATAGTATTTCAGTTTGATTAAAAATTGAAATATAAAATTTTTGAAAAAAAATAAATGAATTGCCATTTAATGATAGAGAGTATGATAGCCATACATATCACTTTCAATCAGTGGGAACAATAATAGTTGAAATATTATGTGAAGAGGAACATCCTGTACGTGCATTCCCTTGAGGAAATGAATGAGAGTCCCCTTGGAAGAGGTGTGCCCTGGTGACACGTTAAAATATTGTGAGTCTATGTAAATGAATGCTGTAGATACAGTATCCACCTAGAAGTGGCATCTCAACAATTGCTAAATAAATGAAAGACAACAAAATCTTTACCCAGTTCTTTCGTGCACAGCTTATTCAAGTCACCAATGAAATTTGAGCAGAGATGCACACTTTAAAAACACTGAGTTTAAGCAGATTGAACCATAATCATGAAAAACATCTCCTTTACCTGGGAAACGTGCATGTATATGAAGGGTGGAAGATATTGTGAGTGTATGTGGATTGGGGCACAACAAAGTGCCCACTTAAGAGTAGTATCTTAATAATAGTAGAAGCACAGCAACAAAAGCAATAAATATCTGGTCATCTATGGTCAGTTCTGTTTTACATGACTACATCAAGCTCCAAAAACAACACACCCCTGAAAGGATAATTTCAGCATCCTTAGAATTCGCACCTCTTTAATATATTTTTACCGTGCAAGAGCCATTAACATTAACTAATACTGCTACACAAAAACTGTCTTGGGGGTAAAATAAAATAATAGCTCAAACAGGAAATTGGTAATAATAATCCTTATGATTCCATAGAGATTAGAGAAATAATTATTATTTCTCTTATCTCCATGGCATCATAAGGATATCAAAAAAATGTCAAGAACAATTTTGTGACTAAGTCTTAAAGTAAATATAATAACTTCCCAGTATAAAAACAGCCTGGAGTAATAAATGATTTTAATAAAAATTCCAAGAAGTCACATTGAGGCTCCCGCCTTAAAAATACTGGTGTATAATGGTGTAATATGGTAAAACTATATATTTTCAGGACATCAAACATGATCATAAAAAATATTGGACAAAGAACAGAGCAAATTAACCCTTTTTGTTGGATTAATAACAGACAGATAATCCATTAAAACAGTCCTGGGTTTACATCCATAAACATGATGTTATTTGAAACACAGCCTCCTTTTTTTTCATTCCCTGAAAATCACTGAGTAAGCAGTCTCTCCTAAAACAATCAACTTAAGCATTTCCGGCACTCAACCTACAAAAACCTACAAGAAAAATTCTTTCAGTGCTAGGCACTCTCTAAATAAACCTGGGATTGCTGTGGGCTTAATATTCTTTTCAATGGTTTACTTGAGAATGGCTGGAGTCAACAGTCAGTGCATGAACCTTTTGGACCAATAGGATTGTAGGAAAAAAGGTGTAGCAATTATGTATAGAAACAAGACAAAAGAAGTTAACATGAATATACAGTGATCACCAGAAATCCAAAAAAGACTCCACACAATGGCCAATTGGTCAACACGCAGATTCACAATCCTAGTGGTTCCAGATTGGAGTTCTACTCTGACCACTACCTACAGTTGTTTTGGGGTAACACCTTGAGTTCAAATCTTTCAAAATGCGCGTACATGTTCATAGCCTACTGGTTGCGTCCTGCCAGTTGGAGCTTTTAATCCTGTTTTGTTCTGTTTTTAATTACTCGAGTAGTCTTTCTCTAAACACTAGCTGGAATTAAAGCTAAGTGCACTTCCACTATAAACAAATCATTATGTTTTTCACCACTGCATAAATGGCTGTATGGCACTTATTAATAACTAAAAAAATATTAATGAACTGGATTGTGCTGAATACCTTCACGGCTCTCAATATTAATTTGCCTTTCTTTGACAGGGAACATGCCCCATTTGATCAAATTTCAGCAACTTCACAGCTTTGGCTCTTCATTAAACAGGATGATCATCTGGGGGGCTATAGTCCCGTGTAGGACTGCTGCTGAATTTGAATGACATTTTGACCTGTGCGGTAGTCATCTTCAGCTTCAACAGATCATAATCCACTTAATTACGACATGAGCACACTACAAAATTAAGCTCTAGACTTCTAGCTGAAAATGGGTCCACAGTATAATGAAATGGCAAATTATTTTGGAGAAACAAAAATAATTGCTTCCATACATCTAGAAAAAATATAAGACTGAACATGAATCAGAAGTCAACTTGTTAAAAAATACACAGGTCCTAAAAACTACCAAGAATGCCCTTAAAGGAGCTGTGTCACGAAATTCAGCCAAATTAGGTAATTACAAAATGCCCATTAAATTAAGATAAACATAAAAATAACCGCTTAAAAGTTGGAAGGTTAAAAATAATAATATAACAGAGACAACAGATGCCACGGATATTCAAAACTGAAGGAGATTGAAACGGATTGGAATTAGGGTTTTTGAAAACTGTTCAGCCTAACAGTTTTTGAAAGTTGATCCCTGCTGCTTGCAACTTCAAAAATAATGCTCAGGAGACATAATTATTTGTCACAGATCTCTGATTTTGCCACTTAATGTAATTTCTTCTCTTACTTTAAGTTTCATAGCGATTGAAGAAGGGGAGTAATTGGCAAAATTAAACAAAATGAACTGGACTGCCGTGACACAGCCCCTTTAAATGCAGTAAATATTGCTTGCTTGGAGATTAGATAAGAAATGAGGAGGCGATTAATTCTAGACGAAGCAAGATTTCCTCATCAAAAGTTTTTCACTCCTACTTTATCGATGGTCGAGTATTCTTCAGGATATTTACTTTTTATATTGTATTTGACGATTTGCTTCTGAATTAATTGAGTACACGTGTATAAATACACAAAAATCAAGGGCCTCAATTTGAGAGAAATAACATCATTGCCAGAGAGCAAAAAAAGTGATGAACAGGGTGAGTCATTTCAATCATCGCCGAAATTAAACCGCATGCTCATCACAAGACTCATTTGTATACAAGAAAAGCTTACAATACCTGACCAGTTAGCCTCACCATCAAAGTTTTGCTCACTAAATAAAGATTCTTTTGTTTTCCGACCACTGACGTATTCACTTGTTCCAAAGTAATCAACGCTTAAAAGCGATATAATTTGTGGACCGAGCAATTCTGAAAAAACTCATCACATCCTACGCATAAAACTCTCCTAAGCTAAGTTTCTTCACAAAATATGCATGTGCTGTGACACGTTGTGATTCTTATCCCTAGTTTCCTCGGTCTCCGCTAGGAAAACCTGGGACCATGACTCCGCCCCCCTTTTTGGAGCACACACACGAAAGGAAAAAAAGTTGCAGTTTTATAGTCTTGCAGCTAAAGCAAGCAAGGACTAATAAAAGAGTAAATTTTTTGTCATTAATCCATTTAAAACTGATACATATAAAACACACTGGATCATTGCAAAACTTCCACAGCCAATGCCTTAAAATGACCTTGAGTACTCTGGATAGTGATAACTTTGTTTAAAAATTTTCACAGCCCTTTAGTTCTCAAATGTTCCTTTGTTTCAGCCTATGACCGAGAAAAGAGATCATAAAATTGGTTTATAACATTTTAAAACCAAAACAAAATTTAAGCCATAACAAACCTGTAATTAACAAAATATAAAGTGATTACAACTGTCTGGTAAAACATGTTTCTCTCTATACTGCAAACACTCTATTGGGTTTTAATTTTCCATTTTTTTGTCCATTAGATATGCAGCAATCAGTTTTTCTTAATATCAGTTGTTTAAGAAGTAGGTTTAGGAACTGTCTTCTAAAGATTCATTTGACAGACAAGCACAACCATTTCCATCAGGCACAGCCTGGCTGATTATAATAAAGTGAACATGGGTCACCTTCTAGAAAAAAACTATGCCTACCTGGCAGATAGAACTTAAGGTTTTGTCACTTTCTCAAGAACTTGTCTATAACTGATTATAAAGTTATTTATAGATTCTTGGTGGGAAAAATCATATTTGTCAGTATAAGAGGAGTTATTGATTATCATGCTCTGTTGATCAGTAGGTCATAATATATCAACGAAGTAAACACGGAAAGACCTCAAGGAATGTGATTAAAAAATTAACAAAATGGAAACATCTATTTTGCAATCAGTGAGAATAAACATCGAGTATATAAATTTTCCCAAGGTCATAAATGAAGTGTTCTCACTAATACATGTACTTGTATCATTTAGTTTAATTTCTAGAGTTAGCTTTGAAAAACATTTCATTAAGTTTGGTTCTTAGTATTTTCAATAATTTTATAAGAAAGTGGTTTTTGAGCCAAAAATGTTGCAAAACATTCTTTTAAAATTAATATACTATGCTTGTTACTGGCTGCTTAAGTATGCACAAATAGAGTACCAAGAGCTCATAATATTCTAATTTCCTTACTACGATGCACTGATGTTTTTCATGTAAAAATTTGGTTACACGACTCAATCCCTCAAGCATTTAAGCAGAGTAAAAACACATGTATGAAACATTTGTTTCAATTTTTGGTTGAATTTTCTACATTTCAGTCCAAAAAACAGTTTTTGGAAGAAGAACGTGTTGATGAAAGTGATTTCCATAAATCTATTGCCGATTTCCCTTCTTTATTTGTGTGTAAAATTTAAGACCACACCAGCAAAAACAAAGGCTTTTAACAAATGCAAAACAACAACAAACAGCAGTAAACATTCCCAGTTGGAACTCTGAAGAGAAATTAGGGTGTGGATCAGAGCCAGGCAAAACAGCTGACTAAATGTGCACATTTTCTTTCATCCAGTAGAAACTTGGAGTTACACAGCTGTATTGAAAAGCAATATCTACGGCAGGATATGCTCCTGTCTCCATCCACGTCATGCACTGAAATAAGCATGGTTAATATCCCCTAAGGCCTTCAAAGAGTGTATAAAATATAACCACGGACAAGAAAATGTCCATGTATTTGGAACATAATTATATGCATGTATATTCTGTTAATGCCCTAATACATTAAATGAGAAGACTGAAATATGCTGTTGGTCTATGAATTTCTTTTTTGCCTTAAAAGGATTATAAGGCTCCCCTCCTACCCCCAACACTTTAAAATCACAGATACAAAGAGACAGGGTTATTTCTAAAATTGAAAACCACAGACATAGCAAATAACCATTGGTGTTAAAATGAAAGTATACATGATAAACATGGAAGTTAAATTTCATTAAGTTGACTTGAGAGGTCTTCCCCATTAATGGGCTCTAAAATCGAACTACAATAATTGGGCAGACGAATTATCACGCCTGCGAGCGAAGTATGTTTTATTCACTGTACATATTTGTAACCATTCATCTCCAAAAATAGACTTACCATCTTCGGGAATTGTATTTGCCGTCATTTCCTGTTCTGCTATGTGACAAAGTCGCGTAAATCGCTCGGTTTCTTTCTCTACTAAGTCCAGAAAATAGCGTCCATCATTTTCTTTGTGGCTCGAAATCATCGAAAGGTTCTTTTCAAAACTGTCTGACAAACACTCGATTTCTTTCTCCGGAGAGACATTTTCCTTGTTTGCTGGAACAGAAGCCATTATGGGTCCATGCCTTTTTTCTTTAGATACAAATATTACCAGTTCTGATCTCTGATTCCCATTCACGAGTATAGAACTACTCATCTTTTTACAAAAACACAACAGAAGCTGTACGATTTGTCGTCGAGGTGCTTTCGATACCACACAAGATGACAAAATGCAAGCACAAATATTCAAATGGAGATTGTTTCGCAAGAAATAATATGAGTCAACTTTGCAAATGTCTTACTCAATCCGGTGATCCAATATATTGAGACGAAAATTTAGAGCGAAGCCAATAATATGTTTCAAGTGCGTTCCTATTGTCCAACCACTCTCAACCTTCGGGCGTTTCGTAAGTCGTACGTAGTGAAGGGAGATCTATGGAATCCGGCGTTGCGGTTTCCGACCCCTGCAAGTGAGAAATGAGATAATTCCTGTGAATAATTTATCACTTTGAAAGACGTATGGAACTTTAAAAAAGCTACTGACTACTCAGTTGCGGCAGTAAATGCCACCGGACGTTTCAAAAACAATCATATCGCATTAGATCTCCGAGAGCTCACGCACAAATCAGAGCATACACAAATAAATAATTTTCAAGTGAACGTTTCGTGATTCAACGATCTCCGCGGGCCGTTGTTTAAACTACGACCACAATAAGCTCATGCAAACGCACCAAAGTTCCATCCTATGAATTTTATAACCTAGTAACTACAAAAAAAATTGTGACCAATTTATGTGAACTATGAACATGTCAACGTTTTGGTTTTCGTATGCAAGGAACTTGCACTATCGTTCTCTTCCCGCGCAAAGAAAGCAAAAACCGGCACCGGCAACAACTCAACCGACATTTACACTCAAAAACCATAAAAAAATATTACAGTACGATTCGTAGGTGTCGAAGAAAATATTGGCGGTCCTTAAGCTAGCCTATTGTCCTGAAAACTACTCACGCAAAAATCGCAACGCTCCACTTACCGAACGAGCTACGATACGTTACCACCAACTGTATCTTCCCAAGACTGCATGCCGTCCGAAAAAACCGCCGCTTTTAAAGCCCAGGCAAAGTCACGAAGATTCGGTACTGTTTACACAACCGTTTCATTCATTTGACCTCCAACAGAATAGAGCAAATATGCGGTGAAAACTGGCGATTTGAAGACACAGCACGATGAGATAAACGTACTTCAACCAAGCGGAAACTCCTGTGGGAAGATCGAGGGAACAAGAGAAACTGGGGCGAGCCACAGTTTTGGATTGGGGGAGGGGAGGGTGGGAAGAATTGAAGATAAATCCGCTGACACGAAATATTGTAGGCCCTTTTTACATTTACAAAGCGAAGTCCCAGAGCAGCGAGCAAAGCTGTCGTTTTTAAACCATCTTCTCTGTAAATCTGATCATTTGTTTGAATTTTTGGCTTTTATTCTACACCTAAGTAATGCTTTCGTTATCAAGTAAAATTGGAAATCTAAAGGTGAGTTGGTTTTTAGATGGTGGAACTTCGCAAAAGTCCAGCTTGTGCAATGCAAGCGATGCTTCGTGAACGAAATTGCGTAAGCTGGCTGAAAATTAAGCAGCTCTTTTCACAGGATAATGATACTTGACTATTAGTCAACATTTCTTTTAGAATTTGCATTGTTTGGACTTTTTATCGATTCTGCGTTTGAGTTAATGTCACTTTGTATTTGTTATATTTTCATGCATAAGCTTGAGATTTCTTCCCTTTGTCTGTGTTTGTGTCTGTACCATATGCAGAGATCTTTGGATCTAGTTGCTGATAAATGTGGCGAGTTATTACCATATTATTAACAATACTTGCTAATTTAGATACTTGTCAACGAGGTTCAACCCGTTAAATCATGTTTTTTATTTTTAAATTATATTAAATTGTGGCACCCTGAATTGAGGAGAGGGGTGGGTAGGGGGAGGGAACACTGAGTTGGGAATGTCTAGTATATGTATTGTTTTGAGGATGGTAAGTGAATTAAAACAGGAAATTTTCACAACGTTGTCATTTTACTAAAAATACCAGAATGGTTCAGAATTTTATCTTGTGCTTATTTAGGTTATATATTGCTAAAATCAATTCTGGTATTTGTAAGTGATAGTGACATTATCATCAGAATCACTGAAAGTTAGCATCCAGCTACAATGGCATTGCTGCTTGATATTTGATTGTCCACCCAAAAGAATGATCTGAAAATTCGTATGTATGAGACAAGCCCTGTAATTTTTTGCTGTTACCGTATGTTGGTCACTTTTTTATTCCTTCATAAGTGTTTGTTTGTGAAATAAAATAAAACAGCAAAAAGCATCCTAAATTTATGAAGCAAAGGATGTGTCAACATGCAGATATAGGAGGAGAACATTTGGATCTGTTGAAATCATAAAATTGCAAAAATGATAAAAATAATTTAAAAAATAGAATAAAGATCATGGCTGTGATCTCAGAAAATTAACAGAGAGCTGAAAACTCTAGCATATGAAATCCAGGGTGACCCTGTGGACATATTTATGAGTTATTAAGAAGTTTGTTGAATTTGTAGTTTTCAAATGAGCTAATACAGCTAAAACAACTGCAAATATTAAAACTCAAAAAACTACTTTGTTTATGAAAACCAAAAAACTTTATGTTTTTAATAGGGATCAGCCATGAAAAACTCACTAGAAAGAACGCATACCTCACTGGATTTATTTCTTCTTGCAATTCAACTCCTTTGTTACACTCAGTAAACAGTAAACTAGTTTGCTCCTTTGCCAATAGTGATGTGAGTTCTTCACTGTGTTAGGTTTAATTTCCCTTTACCTTGTTTATGATTATTTCAGTGGAGTGCCCGTTAACTAACTGAGCAGCTAATAATTCCACTTAGCCTGTTCCTGCTGTTCAAATAGTAAAGTGTGGTTGAAAAATACAACAAACACATAATTATAATGAGGGGAGACTAGAGACAGCTCCGCCATTCTCCCCTCATATTTACCATATTTGTTTCACCCCAACTTCCTTGTACTGTTCATTTGGTTTTCAAGAAGCCAATTTTTTTCATTCTGATGTTTGTTTGCAGCCCTGCTGGGACACTCTCTTCAGCAGTTCAACCTTGCAGTCTCTCTACCGTGCCTCGGCAATAAGGGCCACCATCTGGACAGGCCAGGAGAAGCTTGAAGATGATGACCCTGAAATAAATGACTTGATCAGGCAGGAGAAGGACAGACAAGTTAGAGGCCTGGAACTCATAGCTTCTGAAGTGAGTTGAATTGAGTAGTACAACCTAGATCATCTGGAATTAAAAAGAATGGTAGAGAATGGAACAGGAAATTTGGACATTTTTGCTGTCATTAACTAACAAATTCTTAAAGATAAATGAACTGAACCTGATAGTCTAATTATGTTACAGAATTTCTGCAGCCGTGCTGCTTTAGAAGCCATGGGATCTTGTTTGAACAACAAATACTCTGAAGGCTACCCTGGACAAAGGTAGTTCACAAATGTAAAATAATAGTTTTTGTGTAACTAAGTAAAAACTACAGTACATCTGCAGTGCTCTTAGGGGTTCCCAGTGGTGCCTATAGTTGACTACAAAGTAGTACCCATTGGTGTTCTTTATTGCCTATGATGTCCAAAATCAAGTGCTTGGCTCCACATCACAGTTGATTTAGTTTCTGGATTTGGTAGGGGTTCCAAATGTGGTACATGGAGAAGTGTATTCCACAAAGGTGCATATGGACAGGCTGTTAGTTTTCACAGATTGTGGGGTTCCTTAAGCTGTAGAACCAACAGATGGTTGGGACAGTGTGTTTCCCCAAATAAGATTGCATTTGCAGGACATTGCTGCAGACTTGGGTCAGCGAGAAACATAGTTGAAGGCACATTAAAACCTTCAGCATCAACCCTTTTTGGTCATCTCTTTCAACATATCTGCAGGGACTCATTGCCATTATTTTTCCCCAAAGTGTTACCTGGGCTCGTTCCTTCCACATAGAGTATGTCATTTTCTTTTTACTGTCACGCAGGTACTATGGTGGAACACAAATTATCGATAAAATTGAGCGGCTTGTTCAGAAGAGGGCACTAGAAGCCTTCCACTTAGATCCTAAGGAATGGGGTGTAAATGTTCAGCCATACTCAGGTAAAAATCCCAAATAAAAAGCAAAATCACTTTAAACTGGGAAAAAAAACCTGCAGCCCAGAAGCTGAGAGCCTATGAAGCCCAGGGTGCCTAGCCCTAGTAATGAAATTTTGTGCAGAAGGTACAGCTGTTCTATTCCATTCACACTGGTCAACTAAACAGATTTAATTATACCAGGTTTCAAATAATGAAAACCAGGCACAGAAAACTGGAACAGAGGCTTTCACACAGGATACAAATGAAATTTGACATGTTTTGTAATTTATACTAAATTTGCAATTTATCGTCTTATAAAGTCAGTAAGCAGCTTTTATGGAGGAAACAATTTTAAATGGTGTTTGACTAAACAGCTTTTAATAATGTTTAAGCTTTAGTGTGAATGAGGCAAAGATGTCCTTTTCATCAGCTTGTAAACAACTTGATGACTGTCACAACATTGGACACATTGCACTGCTTCAATTTAAGGGTGACTAACTCTGCCCAGACAACCATTTGAGTTTTCTCCCTCTCTAATGACCAGTGAGCACTTGCACCCAATATTGTTCATAGCTTATTGCATGTACATCTTTTTTATGTTACTTGTGAACTGTCCTATTTGAAAAAACTTCAATTTCTCTTTCATTCAACTCATTAAAATATCCTCAAACTTTTTATGTAGGGAGAATTACTGTACCTTTAGCAGTGGCGGATCCAGGGGAGGGGCTAGCCTGCGAACAGCAGACGCATTTCCGGTCGTCGCTTCTCTCCCTCTGAAAAATAGCGTCTGCGAACCCGAGCAACAAAATGATTTCCGTGACGTAAAACATTTTTAGCCAATCGCGGTTTAGCTCTTAAAATCAAGGAACTAACTCGCGAGACTTCTTGCAGGATCGTGCGCGACGACGTGGCTTCTGTATAGCCGTCCTTTTTTCTCAGAACGACGCGTTTACGAAAGTTAATTTGCCAGGATTGTGGGACTGATTGACGAAATAAGTATCAAGAGGATTCATATCGAAGAAAAGATTAGAGGACATTTTTCATCTATTTGCCTACGGAGTCAATGATTTATCAGACGTAGTTGTTTTGATCATATTCGAAACGATAACTGTCCTAATGACAGTAGACGCATCATGCCGTTTGTTGCTTCTGTTCCTTTCTGGTTCCTGGCAGGAAAGTATGCCTTGGAGAACTCTTCGATAGTTTGTCGTGTGCCGTTTTAGATATTTTTTAGTAGATATCCTTTATCTTTGAAAGGTAGGACATGTGGTAATTGATTTCCCATGCGTGGTTGCTTCTTGGTTCAGATAGAACTTTGATCAGATCGAAAGCATTTTATATTTGCTCCGGTATATTTCTTTAAATACATGTTCTTTTCAAGGTTCTCATTTCCATAGTTTTTTGTGAGATGAGTAGAAG